GGCTAAATTGAATAGAATGACGAAATGTTGCTCATATTTTACGAATATGCTACGTATTGAGTCGCCAAGTCCATGAGAAGGAAAGTTAATTGTGCCAAGGGTTAATTTGTTTCGAAAGTTGATAGTGAAACACGATACTCGCATGCTAGTTTTTTCTTCGTAGCGACCTCTTGTTCGAGAACACTTCATCAGTTCGGCACGAAAGAGCAAGTGATTTTTCTGCACGATCAAGGCTTAATCAATCCGTCTTGAAACTTGAATTATTAAGACCCAGACAACTCAAGGATTTTTCTGTAGGTTAATGTGTTCAAAAGTTGAGAGATAATCCCCTAAAAACGAAGGATATACTGGACATTCAACTGGGAGATTTATGGTGGTTAAAGGAAGTAACAAGCTGTTCTTCCCATGCTAAAATCACTTTATTCCCATCTGGTTTGAGAAGTAAAATGGGGAATTCTAAATTGTGTGGTAGTGCTCAGCATTTATTATAGCTCGAGTAGGATAAGGTTGGGCGAACACGTGCAGTAAATGCTAAACGCGATACCTCGAGGCCAGCAATGAAGTTACTACTGCACCTGTGCCCTTGCTGGTGGGCACATGCTGCGTGTCAATTGGAAACTTAACCCCGCAAAAAAAGAACTGCCTACGAAAAGATAGTTTTCTGCGAATGTTGGCTTGTGCTGTGCAAGCGCCGATGACGGCAAGCAACTTCATAATAGTAGATGGAATTTTGCGGCCGGCCGGGTAAGTGAGGTATTCGTGATTTAAGTGAGAATAATGGCTGTTTGGTTTTGGCAGGGTGATGAGATTCCTGGTTCTTTGTCCAAGCGACACCAAATCGGTTCGTGGTTTTCTTATTAAGAATTTTTCGCTGTGGTTTCAGTGAAAATTTGGAAGCAGAGTGCTAATCTTCTATATTTTTTCTTTGTGCAACATTCGAGAAGCTATAATCATTAATCTATATATACAATATTCATATACAATACTGTGTCTGCACCTGTGCCCTTGCTGGTGGGCACATGCTGCGTGTCAATTGGACACTTAACCCCGCAAAAAAAGAACTGCCTACGAAAAGATAGTTTTCTGCGAATGTTGGCTTGTGCTGTGCAAGCGCCGATAACTAAACTGCAAGCCCTGTCGAAATGTCGTCGCACGATTTGAACCAAACCCCAAAAATCTTGAGCAAGAAGAAATTTCGGTCGGAACTTTTCTACTTCCAGAGACCATGTACGGGTAATCGTGAGGTTATTTGTTTTTTATCTAGTTACTAAGAATTCATTCGGAAGGTAAATTTCAAATAGAATACTGGTCAACCGAGATGGTCTGTCGCGAAAAGATAATTAAACTGGTTACTGTTTTTTTTTTTTCCGCGCAAGGAAGGACATTTGAACAGGTTCCCGGAGCATTGAGCTATACAAGATTATGGGAGATAGTAACAGAAAGAAACCTCGAATAATGCTGTTGGAATTCTTCAAACCCAGTGCTAACGAGAAATTGGCAGCAAGTGTTATACCCAGAGGCAGGGAATAGTTGAGCATCTATTGTTCCAACAATTTCTTAGAAAGGCTCTTGCAGGTGCGGATATGACTTGTTGGATAGACCATTGCATGCCGCAGGTTAAAAATCTGTCTGAAAATATTAATACTTGAAGGATGGATGCACTTTCTCGCTAAAAAAAAAGGTTCGCCTTGTTCAGATAATTCATAAATTAACATACTGAAGGATCTTGTCTGACAAATTCATTAGTCCGACATTGAACTGCGTTACTTCAAAGATAGACATTCGGAGCTGAAACACGCCAGAAATGCCTTCAAAATTACCAGGGGAATCTTTATTACTAGAAACTAGATGGCGGATTGTGAAAAGCTTTTTGTCTCAATTCTCGCCTAGGTCGAACTCTTATTTCAAAAATTCCAAACTCAACTGTTCCGTAAGGAAGTTGTGATGTAAAGTCCAAGTCTGCTGAAGTGAAAAAATTAAAAGATGGCTCCACCAGAAAATCTAGCAAGAGGAAAAATGAAAAAATCAGGAAATATGTCATGATACTCATGAATTTGTTAATTCGGGATATTGAAAATTGAACCCTTTCTTCAAGCTTGAAAACATTTTATCACAATACTGGCATTGAAGCACCCATCAAATGAGGTTATCAATTTATTGCCTCAATAGCGTTCCGGTATTTTCTCCAGGAATATACAGTACTTTTCTAGATTTTTAAGATAAGATCGAAGTATAATTTCTAGGATGCTTGCTGTTAGATATCCGTTCCTTGTGATATTCTCTTACTTATGGAATTTTTTCTCCCGCCCCGTGTATAAGTCTGGGATGGTGGCTCATTTGCACCTGTAATCTGAATCTTATTTTTTCAGTGGTGGCCGATCAAATTTCGAAGACCGCCGTGGATACTACGGATACCACGAAAATCCGCCGCATCGAGGATTTTACGATAATTCGTACCAGAATTACGAGCGAAGGGGGAATTCTTATGGAGGTCGCAATAACAACGGTCAGCAGCGACGTGTTGGGAATCGACCGCAGTGGATGACGAATGACGGAAATCCCCTTTCTGGCCGTGATCAAAACGAAGCTAGCCAACAGAAGCTCACTTTCAATGGAGAATTCGATTTTGAGACTGCGAACAACGAATTTGCCACTTTGAAAGAGAAGCTTTCCGAGCTAAAGATCAATAATGACCAAATAGACGCGCCATCTGATGATCAGTCGTCTACTACGAAGCCTGAAGAAACGGAAAAGGGTATGCTCCCTTTTTATCGATGATTTCGGCGACAAAAAGTCTTGATGAAATCTTACCCTCAATAAACCAGAAGTTCAAGAGCAGACTCAACCAGCCGAGGAGACTGAGAAGGAAAACGTCGACGATGAGAAGCCCGAGGAGAATAAGGTGGAGGAGAAATCGACCGATGACAACGTGTACATCTCTGAGGTTCAAGGGAATGACGAGAACCAGTCCATTAAGAGGTGTTATGATAGGACATTGAGCTTCTTCGACAATTTGTCAAACGTGCCTCCGAAATCGTGAGTTTTCTTGTACGAATATTTCGAACGGCTCTTTCATATAACGTGAACTTTTCAATTTTTATTCGAGGAATAACACGGATCGTAACCGCGAAGTGAAACTGAACTTGGAAACCTTCGGAGAACGTGGACGAGCTCGAGGCAGACGCCGGGGATACAATGTGAACAACGCATCCAGCAATTACAACCGCAATTCCGGTAATTACGGATTGCGCGGGGGTGAGAAAAATACCATTTGATTATCCAAAATCAATGCCTCTTTCAATCTCATTGCTTGCAGATTTCTTGCACGTCAACAATTACCGTGGGATGGGGGGATTTTACAACGTGTTCCGAGGCTATTCGAACCGTGGAAGCTCTGCCTCGGGAGACTACCGCTCCCGCAGGTTTGCCGGAGGCAGTTCCGGGTCTTATTATCGTCGAGGATTGCGCTATTAGAAAGGCCATCTATCCCGACTTCGATGCGATGCTGTTTTCTTGAAAAGGATTAAGGATGAATTGTCAGCCATCGGCGAGTCAAAATCTTCGGGAAAGCGTTGGAATTATGAACCAGAAGATCGAACCTCGGGTTTGCTGGCTTTGGGCTTTTACTTACCGGGATTGTTACGTTTATCAGGGAATTAAAAGCTCAAATGGAGAGAATTCCGAGATTTTTATTCACTACTGGATCAAATGAAAACTCCGTTTTCAGTTCGAGTCGCGCATCCTGAACAAATTGAAGCAGAGATGTTCAACATACATTTAGCCATATAAGCCTAACCATCAAAATAGAAATCAATTGATGATTGAACTATTTGATTTCTTTCGAGCTGATATTGCTACCATACCTCGAATTCTCTATTATGGCTTTTAAAACATTTGGCGAAATGTATCGAGAAAATTGAATTGTTTCTCACCTCTAACTTCAAGTCTCCCATGCAAAAACCTTACTCGAAACTAGCACAATCACGCAGTGACAAAGTATTCAAGGTTTCCGAGTACTGTACGAGTGCCACTCTTCATTATGTGACAGGATGAAAATTTAAAGAATAAGGACAACGGTCCAGTTTTCATGCATCAATTTTCACATAAATTACCAGAAATTGATTTAGTCTTGAGATTTCTGGGGCTTCAGTCAAATGGCAGCTGCAAGGCAAAAAAAAAAGAAGAAACCAGGAACAGTACAACCATCTTATTTTAAGCATTTGCGAAATATAGAGTATCAGGATTTGGATTTGAGACGCCGGAATGGAAATTCAATTCGATTTCTTTCGAATTATCATGTACTCATATTTCGTATTTTTTTCACTTCTGAATTTTTCGAGAGACCTAAATAATCAATTTGATCACGAAGGAAATTCTAGAAATAATTCTACCTGCATAAGAAATGTGAATTGTTGACTACGCCGTCTGTATATTCCAAGAATTGGATTCTTCTCTAGTTGAGTTACGATGCAGATTAAATTTTTAAGAAACTCCTAATCCCAAAGTTAGACCACTGTCTTCGGTCTAGGCATCATAAAATATTGTGTGTGAAGAATTTATGTGTAAATAAAAGTCCTTCGAAAGAAGACTTAATGATGAAAAACCGTTATTATTTTATAATCACTCCAATACTGTTTCATGTGCTCGAAAATAATCCTTAAAAAAATTCAGTATCCTTCTAAATGAGTCAAAATGTCCGAAGAAGGCAGTTTAATTTAACTAAGGAAATGTAATGTAAGAGCTGAAAAATGGGAAGAAAATGTTACAGAAAGTGTAACTCCTTAACAGAAAATGCCATCGAAAAAAAAATTTCAGCACCACAAGCTAGAAATTCCCGAAATCTCTGACAAGCAAAGCTTTTTGATCACTGGGCAAGCCGACCTTGAATTATCCCAGGACTACATCTACTATCGAATTTCGCTTAGTCTGCACTGCTCCAATTACTGTAAAATGAATTGAGAAATTTTCCCCCAGTCTTCTTTGGAATTATTTTCAAGCCGTTTTTCCAAAAACAAACCAGAGTTCGATTATCAAAAAAATAAACTTTCGTGATTACCGAAATAACGACAAAATAATGCATTTTATTTTTCTTCGCAGTGACCAACCATCAACTAGGTTAAGATCCAAGCAATCGCAGACGATACGGATTCGGGATTCGTGCACAGGGCTGACATTTCAGCACGCAACAACAGCAATTTTTGTTGAACAGCCGTCAAAAAAACATTCTTTCGAAATCTTCATCCACGGTTTCTGAAATTTCCATGCCTCCGAAAAGCCGCTCAAAATCTTCATCCACGTTCTGCATATCTTCAGGTGTGACGTAATAATTGAATATCTCGTCGAAAGTAGTAAACTTCGGCGGAATTCTAGTTTCGAGCGTTTTGGACTGCACCGTTTGGCGATCTTGACCCACTGTATAGAGAAATCAAGTACAGTACGTCAGCTGGAAACAGACCGGGTTGGGACTGAGAAATCAATGTTCGATTAAAATAAAATAACAGAATTTCCAGCTTCTGCTAAAAACTTCAGACTTCGGGAAATATTGCATGACTGAATAGCGAGAAAATCGTGAACTCGCCATCACTATTCAATCCGCCATCACCCATGCTGAGCAATTTCTTTGAATTCCAGCCAGTCTCAGCACTATCTCCATGAACACAGCCATTTGGAAGCGATTTGAACCTGTCCACTCGCCTCTTCGCGAGTCTCGCTGTCACATCGCTTACAGATCGAATCTCCCTGCCAAAACAAGTGAAAAATAGGCATAATAGAATTTATATTCTAAGTTTGTTCCCTTTTCGAATTAAAATGGCCAGTATTTGTCTTGACAATACTTGCTTTCTCATGACGGGCTCCATCGCCTTGCCACTCGACACACATTCGAACATGCTGATTCTTCGTTTCACGCTCACTCTTCCCTTTTCCACCTTTACTACCGCATCAGGCAACTTCGGAATTGAAGGAATTTTTTCGATCTCCTGCGGAGCAAAGCTCCTCTGAATTTCTTCGTCGCCCGGAGATGCTGCATTGAACCACGATTCCTTCGGAACATGGGATTGCTCACGACAGAAAGAAAAGCTCCGGTTCTTATTAGTTTTGAGTGGAAAAATGGCTCCGGCATTGTCAGTCAGTGATGGGCTGACATCGGCTGTCGCAAAAACCTTCGCTGGGGATGGCGTGAGAACTTCCGCGATTGAGGGAAGAAGCTGAATTTTCTGAGAGCGGATGAGGATACAGAGACAGCAGCAACAAAAGCGAGATTAGAAACAAAGATCAGCAAATCAAAAATTGCGTCTACTATACGGGCAAGAATTAAATATGTTCGCAGCTAGAGCGCTTCCAAACATTATTGGTAACGACGAGTACAAGACACGACGAGTACAAGACAAAGGCATTAAGCTGCTGATGACTCCCAGGATCAGCAAGCCATTGAAGTAATCGTATACGAAGGTATTTTTAAAGTTCTCCGAGTTTCAGTGGGAAGCTGTGCTATTTGTTGAGAAAACTTGAAAAAAAAATTCGTACGGAAGACGCTTGCGTGACACGAACTCTCGATGAATAAGTAATCGTATACGAAGGTATTTTTAAAGTTCTCCGAGTTTTAGTGGGAAGCTGTGTCATTTGTTGAGAAAACTTGAAAAAAAAATTCGTACGGAAGACGCTTGCGTGACACGAACTCTCGATGAAAAAATTTCTTTGAAAATGAATTTTGTACCTCGTTTTGTCTCAAAAGCGATTTTAGATTCTCGTGATCTCCGTCACTGAAACGCCGAGCCTGCAAAAGATCCAATACTTCAACGTGGAATATTCAGCCAAAAATCAAGCTTTCAGCTTCTGACTGCGGTGTTAGCTTTTCCAAACTTACAATTTTTACCGACGACGGCCTCAGGCTTTCCACCTCCAAGTTGGACCACATTTCCCGCAACTCGGAAAATGAGCGGCGCTGCACACAGGTAAAATATGAGAAATTCAGATCACTCAAGGTCAACGAAGAAAGTTCACATGAGCCAAAGAATAAACTACAGTATGGCGAGCCTCTATTATTCGTGCTTCAAGTACGTTAACCGCAAATTCAACACTCATGCTTCAAAAAGCTAGGAAGCGATTGAAATCTTACAGACCTGTATTCTTGTTATCACGCGTCATCACCGATTGTAATTTTCATGATCCAATCCTTTTCGTTTTAGATTTGGGGCTAGTTTACGCAGCATCTGAATTTACAAACGCCAATAAAGCATGGAATTCTAATAATTATTGAGTAACCATAATCTCCAAAAAACGAAGAAATTAGTCACGCAATTATAAGGAAAATCCCGGTTCTGCTATACATCTGTGTGTTCGGTCTACACTTTTATTGAAAAGCGCTGCTCCGACGTTAACCCACACCCGCCCCGACCGTAAATGCGGAAAATCGCTCCTTTTCTGGGGAAAAACTGGGAGGATTGAAGAATCATACTGACTCGTTCTGGAAAAATAGAAGCACCCTTCGATGCACTATCTTGAGTCATCTGAGCCCTCGCACCCGTTGTGCTTGTCGCAGACGGTTTCTGCTGCTCCGCGACATCTGGAAAGGAAGAGGATTACGTATATACATGATCGAAGCGAGACGATGAAGTGCGTTTTCCACTTGATATCATGCAACCGCGTGGAGGGCCCCCATTTCCTCGAAAGCGTCGCTTTTGAAAATGCAACATTAACGCGATTCTTGTGGTAGCAAGTACTGTAGATGGCGGGGAAACTGAAATTAACGTGATTTAGAACTTCAGATTACAGTAGTACAATTAATTAGGAAAAAAATTGCCTGAATAATGTGCATTTCCGTCGCTTCATTCTCTTACATCGACTCATTATCCGGGCTAAATGCACTAAAAGCACTTCTTCCAAGGGCATGACGGTAACACCGGGACATCGCTGAATCAATTTTTAGACTAGTTCCGTAATTATAAAATATTTGATTAGCCAGGTAAAATGGCACCCGATAAGTTCCGCTAATGCTCGGAGTTTTAATGCACAATATTGCTGTTAATGATGGGTGGATTCCCAGAGTTTCCGAAACGATTCAGGGTCTCGCTGCATGAGCTATTATATTTCTACAGAATTATATTTCTAGGAACTGCTGTACGTACAACAGGTAAAACCATCTGACATTTCAGCTTCTGACTGCGGTGTTAGCTTTTCCAAACTTACAATTTTTACCGACGACGGCCTCAGGCTTTCCACCTCCAAGTTGGACCACATTTCCCGCAACTCGGAAAATGAGCGGCGCTGCACACAGGTAAAATATGAGAAATTCAGATCACTCAAGGTCAACGAAGAAAGTTCACATGAGCCAAAGAATAAACTACAGTAAGGCGAGCCTCTATTATTCGTGCTTCAAGTACGTTAACCGCAAATTCAACACTCATGCTTCAAAAAGCTAGGAAGCTACTGAAATCTTACAGACCTGTATTCTTGTTATCACGCGTCATCACCGCTTGTAATTTTCATGATCCAATCCTTTTCGTTTTAGATTTGGGGCTAGTTTACGCAGCATCTGAATTTACAAACGCCAATAATACATGGAATTCTAATAATTATTGCGTAACCATAATCTCCAAAAAACGAAGAAATTAGTCACGCAATTATTAGGAAAATCCCGGTTCTGCTATACATCTGTGTGTCGGGTCTACACTTTTATTGAAAAACGCTGCTCCGACGTTAACCCACGCCCGCCCCGACCGTAAATGCGGAAAATCGCTCCTTTTCTGGGGAAAAACTGGGAGGATTGAAGAATCATACTGACTCGTTCTGGAAAAATAGAAGCACCCTTCGATGCACTATCTTGAGTCATCTGAGCCCTCGCACCCGTTGTGCTTGTCGCAGACGGTTTCTGCTGCTCCGCGACATCTGGAAAGGAAGAGGATTACGTATATACATGATCGAAGCGAGACGATGAAGTGCGTTTTCCACTTGATATCATGCAACCGCGTGGAGGGCCCCATTTCCTCGAAAGCGTCGCTTTTGAAAATGCAACATTAACGCGATTCTTGTGGTAGCAAGTACTGTAGATGGCGGGGAAACTGAAATTAACGTGGTTTAGAACTTCAGATTACAGTAGTACAATTAATTAGGAAAAAAATTGCCTGAATAATGTGCATTTCCGTCGCTTCATTCTCTTACATCGACTCATTATCCGGGCTAACTGCACTAAAAGCACTTCTTCCAAGGGCATGACGGTAACACCGGGACATCGCTGAATCAATTTTTATACTAGTTCCGTAATTATAAAATATTTGATTAGCCAGGTAAAATGGCACCCGATAAGTTCCGCTGATGCTCGGAGTTTTAATGCACAATATTGCTATTAATGATGGGTGGATTCCCAGAGTTTCCGAAACGATTCAGGGTCTCGCTGCATGAGCTATTATATTTCTACAGAATTATATTTCTAGGAACTGCTGTACGTACAACAGGTAAAACCATCTGACATTTCACCAACTGCATTTAAGAGCGGAAATTGGAAAAAAAAAAAAAAAAAAAAAAAACCTTCGATCGGAACGATGGTGTAGTCAGCCGAGTTCATTGTGCTCAAAATTCCTCTGCGACACTTCTCCAAATAACGGATTCGAAACCTTTCTTCCAAATGTTTCGATACTATTTTTTCCGAACAATGACTGAGAAATTTCCGAAAGCGAACGAAAATTGAGTCAATTCATACACGGAAGTCCATCAACTGGTTCTCTCGGCAGCGTAATCTGAACTGACAATCGCTCATGATTCTCGAATGACTTCCTATTCTTTCAGAATCACGGAATGAAAAGCCGAGGTGGGTGCTCACGGATTATCTAAATGAAAAATTCCCTGATCAACTTTCAAGTTGTTCTGGGTCAAAAAACAAAACAAAAATTGTCTGCCTAACCTGTCTGACTTGATTTCGAACGACGAAGAGCAAGTTTCCCCTCAGCACTTGAAATAAAAACCTCATTTTTACGTTAAATGAGCGTGCCACAAAAGGTAGCTTTTTTTTCGCATGCAATGAGTTCACGGGCGCATACTTCAAGTACCTAAAGTATTCATGAATGTAAGCAATTGATTATTTATAAATTGACAATATTACACAAAATGACTGTTCGAAATACAAAATTAAGTTTTGCTGTTGCAGTGGCCATTCTCTCGCAATCATTTAGCTTATCGGTTTTTTCGAGAAAACGTGAAGCGTAAATGATTTAATCCCGCAAACGGGTTAAAATGCTACGACTTACCCTCAAGAGAAGACAAACGGATAGAAAAGAGAATATTTTCCCATTATGAATAGAAGAAAATCGTTTCTTTTTTAAATTAGCATCGACTAGTTTTTTTTTTCTGTAGGTGTTCTATGTTCTATGTTCCGGGTTCTTATCTTAGATATGAATCCAAAATATAATGACGCGTTGGTAACCATCAACAATTCAATTCCCCTATATTTTCCAGATTCATTCATTATGAATTGGCATGCCGTACACGAAATGTTTTTTAAATATACTACAGTATAGTTTCAAATTTATAATTTTAATCGCACATTTTTGTGCAGAAGTAACACACGAAGTGTCGCATGATTCCTTAGCATTTTATTTTTAAAGTTTTCAGACTCTCAAAATCTGATAACAACCCATCATTTTCCGAACTTGAAAAAGCCGGTTATCTTGATCAAATTTTAATTTTGCTTCACAATGCGAACATCTCTCCAGAAAGTCAGGCAAGGTATGATATTCCATTTGTGATATTCTAATCCAGTGTTCCCCATCCTGTGGTCCGCGGACCAGCCCCGGTCTGCAAACGTTTTTTGCTTTGTTTTCTGGTATGCTGGAAATTGTTAGCATCACACATTTATCAGAAGTAGCAATGAAGTCTATTATCTTTATCTAAAATTTTGGAAAGACAATGGCAGTTGAAATTATTTCATGAAAAATAGAAACTGGCTTTTCCTCCTCTTAACACTTCAGACAAATTTTCACTTACTTGAAGTAAATAATCTTGAATTTTCATTCTGAGAAACTTTTCTTCAAGCCCATCTTTTCAATTTTTTTAACATTTAGCTGTAGCTGCTTCATTGGTGTTCAACTTAATTTTTTAAAAGCAGGAACTTTATTTTACGGACGGTCTTTCAGAAAACTTAGTTTTGTCCTTTAAAAAACCCTTAAAAGGTCAGGTTTTTTTCAAAAGCCTTTAAACGACCAGACGACCGGATTTTTCCAACTCCTTGTGACAAGATTAATTCATATTCTTGTCCCCAATGGGCTGGCCAGAAGTGCAGATACTACAGAGATCCGTCATCAACGGTTGGTCCTCAAACATCAAATGACTCACATGACAAGCATTTCACAGAAAATGCAAAATCTTCAGCAAGCCTCAATTTCACAAATTTCACATTTTTCTTCAGCAAGGCAAACTGCGCAAAGCAGAAAAGAAAGGTAAAATTGCATTCATCTAGGCCCAACAATTTTTAAATTTCAAGAACTTGCAATTCTGAAATGCTGACCAGGGCATAACGAAATAATTAAAGAAATTTCAACATATATTCTGGCATCATCCAATCAACCGAAAGAATTTCATACATGTTTTACCCCAACGGAAATCAAATACCCATTAAAAACATCCTCACGTGCTTCTGGGTACCTCTACAATTGAGGTACTGTACGATACAATCTTGCTACATTTTTTCAAAAATGTTTCAACTTCGAAAGAAAACCAGCAATTTCTATGTACCAAACTTTAGCGTGAGACCAAGAATGCACGCATTCGTTTTATTATTCGCAAACCTCATAAACAGTGACTATACTGTACTGATTCTAAGCACTGCCTCCGTCCCACGGAATAAATTCTTGCACCGAAGTTTAGCAGCAAATTAAGCTTCCTACATCTGAAATTCGGCGGAGAAAACAAGTTAATTTTCTTACGGTTAACCAAGAAAAATCAGTTAGCACAAAAAAAACAACAGAGCAGTGTGAACTTTCATGAGTAATAGGTATTCCGCTCTCAAATTGGTATTATTGGCAAATTCGTAAATAATTTTAAAAAAGTCTGCTAAACGGAAAGATCTTCATCGGAGACGGACACCCAGAAAGCATCATCAGATGAACATCGATTTAAATTTGTTCATCATATGCTGTTCGCCGTACCAAACACATGTTCAAGTCATTTACGAATACAGTACTATACAGCCTATTCATCACAGAAGATGTAGTCAACGATGAAGTCTTGTAGACTTCATAAAATTCACTTACTGAATGAGGGATTAAAACTTATGACCTACGTTCAGTTTGCGGTTCAGGTCGGGTACTCAGAGGACAATGTTAATGTTAGACAAACCTTGTGCATACAGCAGGCGATCAATGTTCTATATTCGCTGGTAGTTCGCGAAAACTGTAGATAAAACCGGAGCTTTCTTTTAGTTTGAATGGCCGTGTTCGTTAAAGGGGGTTCAAAAGCCACTTTCGTAGCACAAATGTTAAGTCTTTACGTAGTCACTACTGCTTTCCTTACCTTCTTCTGAGGTTATGCTGAGCAAGCACTTGCAATTCCGCAAAATTCAAAACACGTTTCCCGTGAACAGGGTTACAATGTTAATAAATGCCTTTTTGGTAATTTAGTTTCACGCAAGAAGCTTATCGAAGCTTTCTTCAACAGATTCTGGAATATCAATGCTTCCGAACATTCTTCGGAAAAGTTCCTCCACGTTCGACATATCTTCACGTTTGATCCAAAAGCGATAGAGCTCATCGAACTCCTCCAAGTTCATCAATCTCGGATGGGTTGATCGACGAACACGCGGTGCAGCTGAAATGAAAAAAATACAGCAGCATCACCAATAGTTTCTTGAAAATGAATAATTTTTATCTAGTTAGAGAAATGCTGGAACACTATTTCAAACGATTCAAGATGATGTATGCTTTCATAAGTAAAAACTTCCGAGTTGAGTGAAACGTTTCATTCGCCGTGAACTACCGCAATTCTGCGGTTTAAAAATTTCAATCTGCATCTTTAATCGTTGATTCTAAACCTTCGACCTATACGACTTTTACTAGCGCATTATGGATCAGGTACATAAAATAGGGAGAAGTTTCAGTCTTATCAAATTCAAATACGTCGAATTCTTTCAACGTTCACGCTTTTTCGTGTTCTTCTTTCCACAAAAGCATTGCAGAGAAATTAGCCAGTTTTTCCCGTAAGACCGAGTAACTAGATCAAAGGTTCCAAACCTTCCCGCGGCATTCAAGTACTTCCTTTCAAATGAGTTTGAAATCTGGATGCAGCATACAGTAATCGCGTAAAGGCGGTAAATTCGGGTCTCATTAATTATGCAAACGTGCAGTTACTTACGATTTTCAGTCGAGTGACCATCGGAGCTGGGCTTTCCGGATGTTTTCGGAGGATTTTCAGCTGGATTTTCGTTGAAACAATAGCCATTCGGTAGTGATCTGTACCGACCAGCTCGCCTTTTCATGAGTTTCGTAGCCACGTCACTTTCCGATCGCACCTCCCGCCTATAGGGAGAAATACGTAAGCATTAATTTCACATGCACACGAGTGGTAAGTAAAGAGAAAGGAATCAGTCTCGCTGCCAAGAACGGTAAACGGTGTCGAAACAACCAGGACAAAACTTGGTGTTAGAAATCTATTTGTCAAGATTTCGGCGGAACGAAAAGGGAACTCACGTCTCCACAACGGACTCCACTCGGTTGCTGACTAAAACGGATTCGAACATGCTGATCCTTCGCTTCACGCTTATTTTTTGAGTTTCTACTTCTTCTTGAACTTCCAGCAGCTCTTGAATCCCAGTTGAAGCGTTCGACTTGATCAAATCCGAAGCTGACAACGCCTCGGCCCCAGAAGCGCACCGCATGATTTCTTCTCGACCCGGAGATGAACCATTCAACCAAGACTCTTCTGGCCCACGTATTTCATGGTCGACAGAAAAGTTCCGGTTTTTATCAGATTTGAGCGGTACGATGGTTTTAGGCGCTTTTACCAACGAAGTATCGACATCGGCCGGTGCAAAAGCTTTCCCTTGGGGAGGCGTAAGAACCTCCGCGATAGAAGGGAGAAGCTTGAGTCTCTAAAATTCGATAGTGACGCAGATAGGACGAAGAAAAAATTAGAATAGAGTTCAATACAATTTAGAATAGAGTTCAAACTAATGGGAAATCAAAAATGCGTTCAGTGTTTTCACTGCGAAGACATCGACAAAATCCGAAACACATTACGCTCACAACGCTTACGCGGAATAATCTTATCGATAGGACGGACTATAAAAACAGTTATAAAACCTTAATGTGATTATGGGGAGTACCCCGATTTTGGGCATTACTTAACGGGTAAAAAAAAATCCACGAACCGAAAAAATAACTTTGAGGAAAACGATAATTTACTTGGGTTAAACGTTTTTAAAATCTCGATTGTTTTTTTCATGAAGGGGAGCAGGATTTGCTTCAACGATTTTAAAATATTTCTCGAATGCGATAGGTATACGTGCCGAATCATCAACAAATTAAAACAATTCATTCGACCGCGAATCCTTTATGCATCCATCATCGCACTGTTGTAATTTGAATATTACTTATTCTTGAGGATAGGTGGCATTTGCGGGAAAGAGAAGCAGCCTAAATACTCAAATATCTAGAGGATATAGCGATCTCTGAAGATTTTGGTGCATTCCTGGATCAATGAAAATCATGCTGAATAAACAGTATTGTACCTGAATGACGACTTGATGAGTCGGGATTTTCTCTAAATTGAAAATAAGATTTATATCTACTCCATCACTCCATCAGTTTCAAAACGTATGGGTCAGATCATCCTTTATCAGTGCAAGTTTCGCTATCCATCACCGGACTAGAAGCATAAGAAATAAGTAGTAAGTAAAGAATTCCGCAGTATCGAAACTACAAATACAGAAGAAAAGCACAGTAGAAGAATGTAAGAATCAAAAGTTGAACCCCACACCTCGCTTCGCCTCATTTTTGACCTCCGTTTCGCACGAAGTGATGCTCCCTCGGTGCGACGTCTCATCTACAACAGTAATTAGTAGTTAGTAGGAGTTGAGAGTTGAATGCATTCACGAGATTCAGCTATAGTGACGTCAGTTAGAACTTACGGTTTTTGCCGATGCAGGTTTCGGTTTTGGCCCCTCCAAGCTGCACCACATCGCCCTTAGCTCGGAAAATGAACGATGCTGCGCGCAGGTTAGAATGGGAGGGCAGAGTTCATACACCAAAGAAAGAATCGAAAAGAAGAAACAAGGATTACAGGAATGCATGCATCAAGCTTCACGCTCATCGTTAGCGAGTACAGAAACGTAGATATTTAAAATGAATATTGAAAATTAGATCCCTGATGTGAATAAGCGTGCGTCTTTAAGGGTATATTGCTCTCACCATCACGATCATAGTTGGGTCGAGTAGTATAGAAACATGCGTGAAAAAAAAGAAAGAAAAAAAAAGAAATACCGACCCGTTCAGGTGACCTCGCAACGTGATTAGTTGCAGCAGCTTCGCTCATCCTCGGAACAACTTCGCTAGTAGGATCGGTCGACGCCGGGACTTCAATCGACGCCGGGACTTCAATCGGGACTTCAATCGACGTCGGGACTTCGGTCGACGCCGGGACTTCGGTCGACGTCGGGACTTCGGTCGACGCCGGGACTTCGGTCGACGCCGGGACTTCGGTCGACGCCGGGACTTCGGTTGTCAGAACAGAGGTCATAGAAACCGAACTGGCTGAGTTCAGAGTTTCAACACGCTTAGTCACAGCACAGGCTACGTCATTATTGGTTTTTGCAGATTCAACAACTCCAACATCAACAACTCCGTGGGTGGTTTGTTTCGAGGTACCCGCCCCAGTCCCCTTCAGAATTAAAAACATCGCATAAAAAAAATATTCGAACAACATGTCATTGTTTCAGCCAACAAACCTTAGTTTGAGCCCCCTTCTCGGTCGTGTCCGTAGACAAAGATTTTTGGCCCTTGGTGACATCTGAAACAAATGACAAGTCACATCATCAGACTAATACAATTAGGGTAGAACCCGATCAAGGTTAAATAGTGAAGTGCTCCAGTCATCATAACAGCGATGATGAAAATACTGCATATGTGTTCCATATACTGTACCCTCAAGACAATTCACTATTATTATGCATAATTACATTTACAAATATGCAAGTCATGGAAACAAAACATGCAATACCTACCATAAAACCATGCCAGAAAGGCAAATAAATATTCCTTTTTTTCAGGACAGATTCTGAAAAACTGCAATGGGCAGCAGTCACTAATAAATTATTCGTAAATTCCCCAAAATATGATTAATTTCCAAGTGCATGGGATCGTAGAAGTTAATCTTCAGAAGTGACAGGTGGATTCTAAGATTTGAATCAGAACACTCCAAAATACATCATTATGCATCTTCGATCGCTGAACTATTCATTCTCAGCACGTATATCGAGAGCAGCGGCAGAAAAACGTGATCAATAACCAATACACAAAAACTCGCCCAGAAGAATAAATGATTGATCCTGTCTGACTTTTCAAGAGCACGAAAGAACGATGACACAAAAAAGAAGATATGTCGATAAAGCAAACCGCTACCAGCTGATCCCCAATTATACTTTGTAGCCTTCACGGGCCCACAGTATGTCAGCGGTTCGGCACAAACTGAACAAACACGCAGGCGCCATTCGCTTTCGTGATTCAAATCAAGCAGTGAAAAAACTTTGAAGAAGAGACGAACGTGTTCTTTTTCATCACTTGAACATCACTTCATAGAGTGCACCGTTCGTAGCTCCGCAAGACGGATACTGTACAGCATGCGTAATGAACCGTAGTAATCCGCCTCGGCGGCAGATCAGACGCCGAAGAATAAAAGATCGGTGGAGGAGTCTCGAAAATCAAGGAGATACTTGGAAGTAGTGATAAATCCAAGTCCGCAACAATCTAACGAATAAAAAACTAACCCAAGCAAATGACAGGCTAAACATTTCAGATCATGTACAGTAATGGACTTGTTGCGTAGAAGAAATCATTTAAAAATGTCAATCTTTTCCTGCACCTCATGGAAACGGCGTAGTATGAAGGTACAATACATGAAAAAAAAAACTAATTTCTGATAGTAATAAAACACTCCACTTAAAATTCTGTACACGTAAACAAGCTATAAACGCTTCTTTCGTGAGACTGACATTTGTGCAGGTGGGATAGAAAAAAAAGAGGATTCAAAGATATTGCCCCCAATGAACACTTAAAATCGAAAAGCCGTTCGGACCCCACGACCATGAAAATCTTGGTCAAAGCGACGGAAGACCGACGGTTCATTAGGACAAGGTAAAAGGAGGGAAACGCAATTGGAAGTTAACCGGCACACATTTGATCGGTGAACGACGCAGGCAGGAACGCGCGAAGAATATTTAACGTGAATAATATTGTACTCACAATGTTGCTCTCTTATCGTAACAATTTCATTGGACAGGTTTCAATTAAAATGAATAGAGGTCAATAACACGGATCAATTTTCGTGATATAAAGGTGGCCCGAGAAAAAATCGAAAGCTTTTTCAACAACAATTATTTGAACACTGCAGAATAAACAACAAGTAGATCCCAATATTTTTTTAGCGCGGTAGTTTCATACAACTTTATTTTCTTAAATCGATCAATTTCATGGTCGTTGCAGTCGCACCAAATTTAAGCCACAACTCATCTTCAGTACACTACAATCGCCCTCTGAAATGTCATATTGTAGTGGTGGGAATTCATGTCACTTTAATCTGGCTAGTTCAAAAATTTTGTGCTGAACATAGTCCTGGTAATACTTAGAGGACTTCTTGGTTAGGCGAAACTCGACAGCTAAACTTTTTACTTGAAAAGGGATGTCGACAAAGCAGTACCCGTGAAGAAAAACAAAAACGCACAACGCTGCTTTAAGCCAGTTCTTTTGTATCTGAGAAATCATTATTTCAAATACTGTACCTGATCAATGTTAAAGATGTCGACCTTAACATTCTTGGAAAACTCCGTATTAACAACCAACTTTCAATATTTGATACGTCTCTGGCAGTGAACGCATCAAAGAATATGTATGTTATCCAAAAAGTGGAGAGAAATCGCAAATAAAACGACGAAAGGGCAGAACCGAGTTTTGGCTCGAACTACATCAGAGCTATGACAATTTTTCCTCACAGTTTTAAAGTGTCCACCTACATCGGTACATAAAGTAAAAATGGCCGGAGTAACTACTTTTAAGCAAGGAACAATGTGGAAAAAGATATCAAATTGAGCCTTCATTGAAGACGAAGATACAGTTCAATAATCTGTAGGTTTTAAACGATTAACAAACAAAAAAAGACCCGAAATTTCGCAGGCCATCCCGTAGATAAAAAGTGCAAGCTCCTTTTGAAAAAAAAGTGATCACCTTTTCCACCATTCGTTCTTGGCTGAAGCTGTAAGTCACGTACTGTATTATGAGAGCCAGCAGAATCAAAATGCCAGGCTTATAAAAGCATTTTAAACTTTCCCAGATATAGTTTGCTTTCAAATGGCCCCAACAGTCACATTACTCCAGCTCGAGCCATTTAATCCACGATCTGAAAAAGGTGATTGAATGAAATTTAATTTGACCGCGTTTTTTCACGCACCGAACATCAAGGCGAAAATAACTAGAAAATTCGGGCAGGGTAGTTCTTTCTGGTCCGACCTATAAATGGGGAATTACTTCAGTATGAGGGATACTCTATCTGAAGTCGAAACTAAACTTGTTCCGCAAAAATCCTTCAAATTTTTCACACAATAACTTGAAATAATAGGATTTGCCCCACTGGAACGCATCTTGCTTCTAGAACGCTCAGTTGTGTCGTGAATAATGTGTTTCGAATTATTCATTATTTCTCCATGCGTCATCCGCGGTGTTTCTCGCTGCATTGCAGGGAAAGAACCAGCATTGAAGCTGCCTGAAAAACCTATCCACCTTGAGCTTACCGAGCTCGAAACTAGACACATGTTCCTTCGATCAATCCGCGTCAACGAAACAAGTCAACAAGATAAGCGACTCGCATATAAAAAACCAACAACAAACACTCCGCGAAGCTAGAATGTGAGCGATGCGCAGCAACTTTGGAATCCTAATTAAAAATCGACATTTGTGGAGCGTTCCTTCCAGGTCGTAACCTCATCAGCTCAAGCCACGGATTCCTCGCTTACTTTTAAAAAGTACACCATCGTTATCATCACCAGATCAAAATAGATCACTAATGGCGTCTTTGCAACACTTGACAATAAATTCCGGCTGGAAGAAATTTACCTAGGACTGCCCGTAACACGTTATTGCATCATCAAGACGGAAAAAGCTAAAACATCGCCGGAAATCGTCATTCTAGAACTCAGTATGGCAGTTAGTTGCAAGTTGTCCGGTCTTCGTCAAGCTCTTGTAATACGTTGTCAAAAGCTTTAAAATCACTGCTAGTATTATTAAGATCAAGCCTCTCACGCGGTTCTTTGATATCGGCGCAGTGTTGCCGATTTCCTTTCACGGGATACACGCGTGCCGTATTCCGATATGCCTCGGCATTTGATACGTAGTACTGAATCGAAAGATACTGCAAGATTCGGAAGAGTTCCGTGGCCAACGGCCAATCCCGTTTTGCCGTCGGCAAAAAATTCCTCGCATTACGCGAGACACCCAGTTGAAGTTCCGGCGTTGATGAACGCACAACGCCGGGATAATTTAACCTTCCACGACACTTCCCATGCCGGAATCCGTTGTTTCTTCGTGATGGATTGCGTTCCCTGCATATAAGGCATATATCCGAAAAGTATGGACACTCACGCAACCGCGGGAGTATGATTGAAATTCATCGAAAACTGGAATTTCACTTGCGTGGGAGTACTACTCCTTGTATGTGTTGATTAGCTGGTGCGCTTCGCCGGGATTTGAGATGATTATTATCCGACCCGTGTTGGAAAGAAAAGTAAGGGCACGAACACCAGAGACGCCATCATCGCATCGCAGTACCCACGCGTATTTGTCTTGTATCATATCATCACGTTCGTCGGCTTGATTGCCTTCTTCGAGGAAACCCCGGAGTAACGGGAAAAGGGTGATTCTATTCGTCCGCCGCAGGCCAGACTTGGCAACACTGCGCCGATAGGTTTCTTGGCGCACTCTCCGAACTAGAATTATTATGATCGTCACTAAAATTTCGAAAACTGTTGCATAATGTTCTCGAACTGCTTCTGGCCTGTTGAACGTTGATTGACGGTATGACTCAAGATCTTTGCAAAACGGGATTGGCCGTTGGCCACGGAACTCTTCCGAATCTTGCAGTATCTTTCGATTCAGTACTACGTATCAAATGCCGAGGCGTATCGGAATACGGCACGCGTGTATCCCGTGAAAGGAAATCTGATGCGGGCATCTCATCCCGCGGCAGATCCGCTTTCCTGGCATGGGGAAGGGTGGTCTGTTCCGAATTGAACAACCTTGAATTCCGCTAGAATAGGTTCGAATTCCATCAGCGAAGTTGGACAAAATTCCACACTTTGCAACCGTGAAAATTTCGACCGCGAGCGAAGTAATCCGAGCTCCTCCTTCTTTCAGAAGGTTCGAAGCGTAAAACCCTTCTCATCGGGATCCAACGCAAACTGGGAGACGAATGTACAATATTTCAAATGATTCAGAGATTTAGGAAAATTATCAAAACAATGTGAATGAGATATCGACCATCTATGTTTTTTCTTCAAATATGACGGCAATTTCCTTTTTAAAATAACGCTGCGAAACTAGCACGCGGTCTTCACTTAATACATTTGAGAAAAGACCGCAGTTAAAAAGAGGCCTACATCCCAGCGCAAGCGGAAAAGAGGTAAAATCAGACGAAAAATAATAAATAAGGCCAACAGAAATCCAGTTAAAAGTACCCAGTAAATTCTACCCGAAATGAACGCTTCGATAAGTTGTTGCAGCATATGTTATTCTTTTTAGAATGTATGCGTCACTGAAATAATAGGTAGATGCGTCACTGTCACCCCACGTACAGTTTTCGGCAATTCGCAAACTATAATCAATCCCTGTTTTGCGTATGTGCTCGCCACGCTTTCCGTCGATAAATTCCCAGTTCTTCTGCTGCCGATACAGTGTACATCTTGGAATGTCTCCCCACGATCACGATAAGGCAGTCACAGTATTCGCGTGATAATGCGAAGAAAATTAGAATTTCCCTCACGAAAAAATCCCCCCATCGAGGATAAATTACAGAGACTAGCGCGAATCAACGTGTTGCGTAAGTGAATCAGAAGCAAGGGCTGAATATGGATCTCTACCTTTTGGAGCTCCGAAGTGAGTAATATTTCAAGAAATATTCGTGATGACGCAGTTGCGCGTGCGGTCGGAGTTCCACGCGCAGAAAGCAAATGCATCACAAGTACTTGGGCTTGAAAAACAAACTTTTCACACTACTGTACCCGTAACTACCAGGTACAAGCCGCACTTGATCATAACATCGACCAGAAGCCCCCAGGAGCGCGTCTTTTACAAATACAGTACAGTACTGAATTGCACACATTAAAATCGCGTGGCACGTAAAAATTGAGATGGGACAGAAGAAAAAAATGTAACATTAATAAGAAAACCTAGCTTAAAGACCCGGTTTACCTACAGAGAAAGCCGCTATAAGCAATGCGAAATATCG